GGCCCATACGAGGCAGCTGCTGTTGGCCCATACGAGGCAGCTGCTGTTGGCCCATACGAGGCAGCTGCTGTTGGCCCATACGAGGCAGCTGCTGTTGGCCCATACGAGGCAGCTGCTGTTGGCCCATACGAGGCAGCTGCTATTGGCCCATACGAGGTAGCTGCTATTGACCCATTCGAGGCAGCTGATATTGGCCCATACGAAGCAGATGCTACGCGGTGTTCTGAATGTGTTGATGGTGAATGTATATAGTGTGTGACAGTGTATAGTGTGTAAATAGATTGTATATATACACAAATTAACATGATACATAGTAAATATGTGCTGCATATGTGTACACAAGTTTCATGCACGTAACACAGTGTCTACGAACAGTACGGATGTTGTACTGCGATATTATAGTGTACGTGTTCATTATACATTGGATTGGCACATAAAAACAATGAAAATGTATTTGGAAAGGTGCGCAAAAATTGAACGAAAATATATTCGCGGCAACTCGCGCGCCCCGCACCGAGCGCCCCACCGCCCCCGAGAGCTGACGGCACGGGCGCACGGGAAATGATGACGTCACGCCCCAACTTCCGGACCCCATAGCAGCCAAAGAAAGTACAATTTCGACTTTTTTTTTACATACCAATACTGAGGGAAGGGTTTTTGACACTTTAAAAAGAAAAAAGAATTTTTTCCAGAGAATTTATTTCCTGCGCACTGCGGGGGTGTCACATTTGGAGGCAACGCAGTTAAGGGGTTAAGGAGAGGCAACTATTGGGAACTTCGAAATTTTTTTAATGAGTGTAATTGGACAGAATTGTTGCTAGGCAGGGAAGTAAATGAAATGTATGCCAAATTTTTAAAACTATACGAGGAAGGCACACAAACATTCATACCAAAACAGAGATGCAGGGCCAGAAAACAGGATTGGTTCGACAGAAATTGTGAGAGGGCAAGAGACCAAAAGACACAAAAATGGAATCAGTATAGGAAGAGGCCAAACCCCCAAACATACCAGCGATACAAAGATGCGAGAAACAACTATACAGCAGTAAGGAGAGAGGCAGAAAGAAATTTTGAAAAAGGGATAGCAGATAAATGTAAAACAGAACCGGGCCTATTCTACAAATTCATAAACAACAAATTGCAGGTAAAGGATAATATCCAGAGGTTGAAAATGGGAAACAGATTCACAGAAAATGAAAAGGAAATGTGTGAAACATTAAATGAAAAGTTCCAAAGTGTGTTTGTACAAAATGAAATCTTCAGAGAACCAGACACAATAAGAATTCCAGAGAACAACATAGAGCGGATAGAGGTGTCTAGAGATGAAGTGGAAAATATGCTAAAGGAGCTCGGGAAGAACAAAGCAGCTGGCCCAGATGGCGTTTCACCATGGGTTCTGAGAGAATGTGCATCTGAGCTCAGCATTCCACTTCACCTGATCTTTCAGGCATCCCTGTGTACAGGAATCGTAGCAGACGTGTGGAAACAGGCTAACATAGTTCCAATCTACAAAAGTGGCAGCAGGGAAGACCCCCTCAATTATAGACCTGTATCATTGACAAGTGTAATAGTGAAAGTATTGGAAAAGCTAATCAAAACTAAATGGGTAGAACACCTGGAGAGAAATGATATAATATCAGACAGACAGTATGGTTTTCGATCTGGAAGATCCTGTGTATCGAATTTACTCAGTTTCTATGATCGAGCCACAGAGATATTACAGGAAAGAGATGGTTGGGTTGACTGCATCTATCTGGACCTAAAAAAGGCTTTCGACAGAGTTCCACATAAGAGGTTGTTCTGGAAACTGGAAAATATTGGAGGGGTGACAGGTAAGCTTCTATCATGGATGAAAAATTTTCTGACTGATAGAAAAATGAGGGCAGTAATCAGAGGCAATGTATCGGAATGGAGAAATGTCACAAGTGGAGTACCACAGGGTTCAGTTCTTGCAGCAGTGATGTTTATTGTGTACATAAATGATCTACCAGTTGGTATACAGAATTATATGAACATGTTTGCTGATGATGCTAAGATAATAGGAAGGATAAGAAATTTAGATGATTGTCATGCCCTTCAAGAAGACCTGGACAAAATAAGTATATGGAGCACCACCTGGCAAATGGAATTTAATGTAAATAAATGTCATGTGATGGAATGTGGAACAGGAGAACATAGACCCCATACAACCTATATATTATGTGAGAAATCTTTAAAGAATTCTGATAAAGAAAGAGATCTAGGTGTGGTTCTAGATAGAAAACTATCACCTGAGGATCACATAAAGAATATTGTGCAAGGAGCCTATGCGATGCTTTCTAACTTCAGAATTGCATTTAAATACATGGATGGCGATATACTAAAGAAATTGTTCATGACTTTTGTTAGGCCAAAGCTAGAATATGCAGCTGTTGTGTGGTCCCCATATCTTAAGAAGCACATCAACAAACTGGAAAAGGTGCAAAGACATGCTACGAAGTGGCTCCCAGAACTGAAGGGCAAGAGCTACGAGGAGAGGTTGGAAGCATTAAACATGCCAAAACTAGAAGACAGAAGAAAAAGAGGTGATATGATCACTACATACAAAATAGTAACAGGAATTGATAAAATCGACAGGGAAGATTTCCTGAGACCTGGCACTTCAAGAACAAGAGGTCATAGATTTAAACTAGCTAAACACAGATGCCGAAGAAATATAAGAAAATTCACCTTCGCAAATAGAGTGGTAGACGGTTGGAACAAGTTAAGTGAGAAGGTGGTGGAGGCCAAGACCGTCAGTAGTTTCAAAGCGTTATATGACAAAGAGTGCTGGGAAGACGGGACACCACGAGCGTAGCTCTCATCCTGTAACTACACTTAGGTAATTACTTAGGTAATTACCAGAAAAACAAAGAAACGACAACAGGAGAACAAAAACCCTGAAAAAAATATGAAAACTCTCCCGAGACGCTCGCTCGCACACCCAGACGCATGTAAACAAACCGCAACACCGCCCTGGTGGCCACGCCGTGAAACCGGCAGACGAAAATGGCCGCCAGCAGGGGCTGTGACTGACGCTAAATACACAAAAAACACACCAGCAAATGTGGGAAGCTAGCAGGCTGGATGGACGAAAAATGCTGCCCAACAGCAGAAAAACCCCGGCAGGGGCAAAACCGCCCCAGAACTGCTAGCAGGCATCCCCCACAGCCCCGGGAACCAACAACAGAGGCCCTGGGGCAGAGCCGTCCTCCAAGCCCTCCGCCCTTAAAGAAAAGCAAGAGTCCATGGGAAAGGCAACAAGAAAAGGCCGCTGGTAAGACCCAGAAGCCAGGCAGGAGGCACAAGCTCAAACCTCCGTCCCCAACCCGAACGGGGCAGCCCCCGAAAACCGCCCGAGTCTCTGCCGCAACTAAACCCTGCCCCGACCCCGAAACCCGCAGACGGTCCGGAGCCGGGAACAGGGAGGGAAAGGGGCGAACAGCACCTAACCAAACGGGGCGGCCACGGGGCATTTGAGTGGGAAACCAACCTAGCATGTTGCAGCAACCTAACCTAGCTTGCAACACGGATGCCGTCTGTACTCTGAACAGTAATAACATCAGGAGAGTACTGGAGAACAAGCAGAGAATCACTCGCAAGACTCCGGGTCAAGGTGTCAGTGACCCAACAGGCAGCATGACGGAGGTAAAAATGGCGACTGTCACCCGGAGACAAGGGAACAGCAACCAACGATCCCGTACAAGACGGGTTGGAACCCGGAAGACACATTCAATGGTCCCCCGAGCCCAGAAAGGGGTTTCCAGGGCCCGTAGGGTAACAACTACGGGAAGCCCGGGCAAGGTGTTGCTAACCGGTTAAGAAACCCAAACATAACAAGAGGGTAAATTATAGCACTGAAAACCCCTGAGACGTGTACAATCACGGGGGCCTAGCAGAGGGCCGCCAAACACTACCAGTGGAACTATAACCACCTTAGGCAGACCCCCACCAGGCATGAAAAATTAAAAGCAAAAGAAAAACCCCGCAAAAGTACACCGTCTCCAGAGGCAACAGAAATCGGCCGCCGCTTAGGTGGCAGGTTGTGCAACACCTTGACGCCCTAACCAGCACAATACCAATCCCTACACAGGACCAAACAAGGGCCCCAAGCCCCAGCTGGCCCCAAGGGCGAGGCAAATGCCGAGCAGCAAGAACCTCTATGGGAATGGTTCCCGAACGCCCCAGGGAAGATAACCCTGGTACGCAAGGGCAGTACTCACAGGGCGCTTAGGGAAGTCAGCCACTAAGCACATGCAGCCCTGGCACTGATGAGGTACTCCTGGCCACCGCACAACACAACACACGGCAGTGAACGCCACACAAGGCAAACACCGCCTAGGAAACTGAGGCCAGAGAAGCGTCAATCCCAGTTGACATTAGCGAACGAACTGGAGCTTGGCAGCCGGTGCGGTAGGTCCGGGGCTCCCCCCTCCCCCTCCCGGAGCGGGTAGGGCTGCGCGGAGGATCGGCATGGCAGTAAAGTGTGATGTTTGCTTGTTTGCTTGTTTCCTTGTGATTGTAGTGAGTTTCTACCTCTATGTTCGGTTTTTGTTTTAGTTTTTACCATGTGGGGTTTGTTTTGTTATGCCTACCCTTCTGGGTGCCTAACCCCGGTCGATGGCAGATAAGGAAAACCCCAACCACATGGGGTTTTCCAGGGCCATTGCTCCCTGAAACCTCTCTGAAGGGGCCAGGTTCTGGCGCTGGTCCCTGGTAGGTCTGAACTCCTTAGCTAATGTCCCGGTTTAATATAACATACACTAGCCCGATAAGCTCCAGGGAGCCGTAGGGGCTCCCCACAGAAAATACTTGGATATTTCTATTTTTGGCTTTTCCTTACATTTTTACATGAGGTGCACCTTTGATCATAGTCACACTTTAGGGGTTAAAATCACACGCACTACATCTACTGCGTGTAACTACAATATTTAAAATACTTGATAGTTTTAGTACTTAATAAAATATTTGATGTCCCTCACCTGAATGAGGAGCCCCACACCCACACACAGAAGACTGAGAAGAACAGACATATTGAGCAGCACACAAGTCTGACGAATGCGACCCCAGTTCCAGTTAACATAGGGAGCATCCTTGTACTTAGCATCAATATGAACATCTGAGCCCACCATCAGACGTCCAAGCAAGGGCTGTATATATATTATAATAAATTAGTAACTTTGTTTACTTAATAGGTAAGACAAGCAACTGCATTGCACTTAAAAAATCTTGTTAACTATAAGAATTTAAGTTCTATACTACACAGTACTGTATATTATACATGGCAGTTTTATGACTGTGGTGAATATGACAATGTTAATTTTCATAATGAATTTAGAATTAAAGATTATATTCAAGTTTATTGCATTATTTTAAAATTGCAGTTATTCTAGATTTTGTTTTAGACAATATCGTTAACTTTAAATTAAATTTCATATATTGCAATTTGCCCATCAACTTCCATTAAATAAAAATAAGGCTTTGAGCTTCATGAAAACCCTTTTTGCATTGTACCATTTGCCTCCTGCTGGTCAGTTGTCGTTTGCCTGGGTGGTTACTTGACTTCCTCATATTGGTGTGCTTTCTTCTGGGTGCTTGCTGGGTTACTGTAGCTTGCTGGGTTACTGTAGCTTGCTGGGTTACTGTAGCTTGCTGGGTTACTGTAGCTTGCTGGGTTACTGAAGCTTGCTGGGTTACTGGTGCTTGCTGGGTTACTGTAGCTTGTTGGGTTACTGTAGCTTGCTGGGTTACTGTAGCTTGCTGGGTTACTGTAGCTTGCTGGGTTACTGTAGCTTGCTGGGTTACTGTAGCTTGCTGGGTTACTGTAGCTTGCTGGGTTACTGTAGCTTGCTGGGTTACTGTAGCTTGCTGGGTTACTGGTGCTTGTTGGGTTACTGTAGCTTGCTGGGTTACTGTAGCTTGCTGGGTTACTGTAGCTTGTTGGGTTACTGTAGCTTGCTGGGTTACTGTAGCTTGTTGGGTTACTGTAGCTTGCTGGGTTACTGTAGCTTGCTGGGTTACTGTAGCTTGCTGGGTTACTGTAGCTTGCTGGGTTACTGTAGCTTGCTGGGTTACTGTAGCTTGCTGGGTTACTGTAGCTTGCTGGGTTACTGTAGCTTGCTGGGTTACTGTAGCTTGCTGGGTTACTGTAGCTTGCTGGGTTACTGGTTATCTTGAGGTTATCTTGAGATGATTTCGGGGCTTTTTAGTGTCCCCGCGGCCCGGTCCTCGACCAGGCCTCCACCCCCAGGAAGCAGCCCGTGACAGCTGACTAACTCCCAGGTACCTATTTACTGCTAGGTAACAGGGGCATTCAGGGTGAAAGAAACTTTGCCCATTTGTTTCTGCCTCGTGCGGGAATCGAACCCGCGCCACAGAATTACGAGTCCTGCGCGCTATCCACCAGGCTACGAGGCCCCTGGGTTACTGTAGCTTGCTGGGTTACTGTAGCTTGCTGGGTTACTGTAGCTTGTGGGTTACTGTAGCTTGCTGGGTTACTGTAGCTTGCTGGGTTACTGTAGCTTGCTGGGTTACTGTAGCTTGCTGGGTTACTGTAGCTTGCTGGGTTACTGTAGCTTGTTGGGTTACTGTAGCTTGCTGGGTTACTGTAGCTTGCTGGGTTACTGTAGCTTGCTGGGTTACTGTAGCTTGCTGGGTTACTGTAGCTTGCTGGGTTACTGTAGCTTGCTGGGTTACTGTAGCTTGTTGGGTTACTGTAGCTTGCTGGGTTACTGTAGCTTGCTGGGTTACTGTAGCTTGTTGGGTTACTGTAGCTTGCTGGGTTACTGTAGCTTGCTGGGTTACTGTAGCTTGCTGGGTTACTGTAGCTTGCTGGGTTACTGTAGCTTGCTGGGTTACTGTAGCTTGCTGGGTTACTGTAGCTTGCTGGGTTATTGTAGCTTGTGGGTTACTGGTGCTTGTTGGGTTACTGTAGCTTGCTGGGTTACTGTAGCTTGCTGGGTTACTGTAGCTTGTGGGTTACTGGTGCTTGTTGGGTTACTGTAGCTTGCTGGGTTACTGTAGCTTGTTGGGTTACTGTAGCTTGTGGGTTACTGTAGCTTGCTGGGTTACTGTAGCTTGCTGGGTTACTGTAGCTTGCTGGGTTACTGTAGCTTGTGGGTTACTGTAGCTTGTGGGTTACTGTAGCTTGCTGGGTTACTGTAGCTTGTGGGTTACTGTAGCTTGTGGGTTACTGTAGCTTACTGGGTTACTGTAGCTTGTTGGGTTACTATAGCTTGCTGGGTTACTGTAGCTTGCTGGGTTACTGTAGCTTGTGCGTTACTGTAGCTTGTGGGTTACTGTAGCTTACTGGGTTACTGTAGCTTGTTGGGTTACTATAGCTTGCTGGGTTACTGTAGCTTGCTGGGTTACTGTAGCTTGTGGGTTACTGTAGCTTGCTGGGTTACTGTAGCTTGCTGGATTACTGTAGCTTGTTGGGTTACTGTAGCTTGCTGGGTTACTGTAGCTTGCTGGGTTACTATAGCTTGCTGGGTTACTGTAGCTTGTTGGGTTACTGTAGCTTGCTGGGTTACTGTAGCTTGCTGGGTTACTGTAGCTTGCTGGGTTACTATAGCTTGCTGGGTTACTGTAGCTTGTTGGGTTACTATAGCTTGCTGGGTTACTGTAGCTTGCTGGGTTACTGTAGCTTGTTGGGTTACTGTAGCTTGTTGGGTTACTATAGCTTGCTGGGTTACTGTAGCTTGTTGGGTTACTGTAGCTTGCTGGGTTACTGTAGCTTGTTGGGTTACTGTAGCTTGTTGGGTTACTATAGCTTGCTGGGTTACTGTAGCTTGTTGGGTTACTGTAGCTTGCTGGGTTACTGTAGCTTACTGGCTCTGTTATCTCTTATCAATATTAATATTATAATAATAATGATGATATTATTATTATTATAATATTTGAGTTGTGTGTTGTTGTGAGTGTGGTAGTCCCCAGAGGATTCCCAGTCCTTCCCCGGGAGGTTGTGTAGGGCCCCTCAGCAAGGCTACCAGCCTGCTGCAGGAGTAGTACCAGGGGTGGCCCTTCAGATCCTTGTGCCTCTGCTGCCTTACAACCTGCTGCTCCGGGTAGATGGGACTCGACAGCCTAGGACGGCAGCTCATTTAGAGAAAGGAAAACCCTGATCTCATACCAACGCTGCTTCGCGGCCACACCAACTTTTGGGATGAGCTTCAGGAATCAACCTCGAGGAAAAATCCCGAGCTGGAGCTTCTAAGGCTGTTTGCTGTTGACTTCAATCTCGTTCTGGCAGCTCCTGCGACGGAGCTGGAACCAAGCGTATTGGGGTTTGCCTTTTCACTGGACAATTTCAGCAATTTGAAGAGGAGGCGTTGGAACCTGCTGCATGGTTAACAGCTTCTCCTCCATATCGACCTACCCAGGCTTTGTGCCCTGGAGAGAATACCCAGCCTCGGCAACCAGAGTGCAACTCCATAGTCTCCCAAGACTGCAGGATGCCTATCTACCTATCTCTCTTATAAGTTTCGGTCTCATGTACATGAGCAGTAGTGTTAACTTCTCATTATTTTGTCTGTTCCCCCCCCCCCCCCCAGAATGGTTCCCATTGCTTGAGTGTGTTTTCTGGTTTGTTGTTCCTTCAGCATGATCAAAACTGTTAATTTCCATTGGGTGGCAATTATGTATTTTCTGTCCCATCTGTGGAGTCTGTTCTGTACAGGGCGGCCCCTTCTTAAGAAGGATTTAGTGCAGGTGTGCAGCATGGTTACTAGCTTTTGGGACTCTTGTGTTCTGGCGGTTGGGTTGCTCCGCATTTCTCTTCCATATGGCTCCATAGCATGCCTCGGGAAGTAGGCCGTAGCTTCAGAGTACAGTTCGTGAATTAGTCCTTTTTGTTCCGGATTGTTCCTCATTCAAAGTACCATAGGGAAAAGCTTTAGGAAGCTACTGAGAGGGGCACAATGGCTACAGAACATTCAGTGTAATCAAATGCCCCTATCAAGGGGCTCCGCTGTGGCTCCCCTTTCCCCATCCCTTACTCCCCTATTCATGTCCAATGGGCTTCTTGGGTGGCTGGTGCTGCAATCTTGTGGCAATCAAGGACGTCGGTGAGGTCGAGTTTCGGTAGTTCAGCGTTTAATTTAGCAATTTTGTTTCAAATATCTTTCTAATGTGTTTTGTGACCTTTCACCCATTTGGATATGGGAGAGGGAGAGCATTTTCCCGGGTTGATCCATGATTCCAAACATACTCTTTGCCACTATGAAAGGGCAAGATTCTGGCACATGCTCACAGAGGCAGATATGGCCACAGGTGCCTGGTAGGTCATGCTTAGCTCTAGAGTGCCAGTGCATAAGGGATAGAGAGCCACTGAGGACCCGACAGAATAGGGCAGTATTATCAGATATTATCATACATACTAAATTTGACTTTAGCATATAAAACAGTGCAAAAACAATTAAAAATACCACTGCCATGAATTCTTTTTTATATTCTTAAAATTCTGTGTAACTCAGATGGTTGTGGTGAGAATACTGAGAGTCTTATATCATTATTGCCAACTTCACTTTATCAATGGAGGAAAACTAATTTTCTAGTTCTAATCAACTACTGCAGTAAGAAGCTTAAAACCTGAAGCAAAGTCTTCATTGTTTTATATCAGAGAATTAGAATTCAGTAACAGTATACATAGAAAAGTTTAAAATACACACTAGCTGATGCTTAAACATCATATGGGAATGTAAACAAGTGCAGTACTGCTTAAAAAAAAAACATGGAATGTAATGAAATGCCAGTTTCTGGGGGGGAGCCCCGGAGGCTCCCCTGAAGGTATCCCACTGATATAGTGCTATAATATTTGGGGTCAGCAATCACAGAGTTCTTATTTCTTACCAGGGACAAGCCCCAGAACCTGGCTCTATCAGAGAGGTTGCCATCGACCAGGGAAGTCACCCAGAAAAGTAGGCAAAACAAAACAGACCTCCATCGGTTCCCTGCAGCTAACTACCTACAGAAAAGAAAAAACCAGCGTTGAATGTAATGAAATGCCATTTTCTGGGTGAGACCCCAGAGGTTCCCTGGAGCTATCGAACTGATATACGATATATTAGACTAAGGCGTTAGTCAATGGAGTTCAGCCTACTGGGCACCACAAGCCACAACCTGGCCCCCTCAAAGAAGCACAGGGAGCAAT